TTAGGCTATATCAAACAATTTCAAGGGACACACATGAAAGTGTCCCCAGCATATTTTTTCCAATCTTTGTAGGGGGTCCTTGACTCTGTCCTAGGTGTGTCCTGGACACATCCGTTTTTAGGAAATATACTCAAATATAAGTATTGAATATATTTGTTGGGGACTATTTTAAGCTGTGGATGACTACACATTTGGTGCATTGGTGAATATTTAGCAGCAGGACAGTACATTAGAAAACTACAGTGCCCATGTTCTTCAAATGGAAATAGCTTGAACTAAGTATATTAACTCAAGTACTGTGCAGTGAGCAGTAGAATGATTGGTTTGTTAGTTGGTTCGTTGATTTATTTAAGGGTAGGATTTACTTCTTGACAAAAAAATTTATAATTTTTCGAGAACTACAACACAAATCTTGGTAAAAGGGACGCGAGGGAGGATTTGCGCAATATATTGTTAATTGTATTTGCTTGTTGAAACAATAATAATTCACCAATGAAGAATTCTAGGAGTGTGCCAGCACCGAGAAGCTGAGCTGATCAAAGACCTGTGGTAGAGAGCCTCACAATGTTGTTGAGACCTGTCAGACATCTTGGGCAAAACTCGACACATATTTGTGATACAATGCCCAGATTTGTTATTGAGGTCACAAAGTGCTTTAGGGTTATAAAGGATTTGACTGTGGAAGAAGAAACTAGTTCTTTGTTTAAGGAAAAGTCCAAATGCAACAATCCAAACTTGTTTGGTTGTACTGGTTGAGCTGGAGCCAGTTTAAACTCCTCCTTAAAATCTAAGTTTTGTGTTTCATAAGCTAAATATATGCATTTTATATAATTAGTGACTATGGCAATCAGATAAATGTAGTGGAGTTAAAATCACAATGTTAACCTGATTCAACTGAGATGTAGATATTTAGAATATTCTTGTTTTCTTATTTAAGCTCTCCAAAAAAGTCAATTGATTGGTTGGTTGGTTGCTGGTTGGTTGGTTGGTTGGTTGGTTGTTTTGCTGGTTGGGTAGTTGTTAGCAAGATTATGCACAAACAACAAATTTGTTGGGACCGGGAAGAATCATCGCTCCCTTCAGTGGTCACCAGTGGCTGCCCACAGCTGTTTCAAGACATTAGTACTTGTGTACCATGCTATGAACGGATCTGGCCTAGTCTACATCCTGGACATGGTTAAACCTTACACCCCCCTTACATCTGCCAATTGGCTTGCTGCTCCCTCACTGCAAGCTAGCTACCCAACAAAATCACAAGTGTTTGCTGTCCTGGCTCCTAAATGGTGGAATGAGCTCCCCATTGACACCAGGACAGCAGAAAGTCTAAACATCTTCTGCTGCAGACTAAAGACAAATCTCTTCCAACTTCACCTTGGTCAAGAAGATGATGTCTAATAAACCACCATCAACTCTGGTGTCTACATTTGAAAAAAAAATCTGTTTCGTTGCACTTATATGGTACTTACATGTAGCACTTGTAGTTTGGCTTTGGCTTGAAGCAAACTGTTCTTACTTGATTCTTGTTGTTCTGGTGGTCTCATGCACTTATTGTAAGTTGCCTTGGATAAATGATATGTGATGTAATGTAATACAATCTATAAGAACTAGAGGATTGTTCCGTCTTGGCAGAAGCATGCACTCTACTGAGTGCCATTCTAGTTGAGTTGCATTTGCTCAGATGAGGGTCTGATAGACAGAAAGCTCAGACAATAAAGAGAAGACACTGCCTGGATCTACAAAACACAGCATTGCAGGTTTTGTATCAACTTGTACCTAGCATTGCTGTGGTACTGTTTGCTATTATAGCTTGATATCCAGTGCAGGATTTAAACTGCGTATTATAAAGCTGCATGGAAAAGTTTTAGTCTCACACAATTTTTGGCCTCTGTGAGAAGAAGAGAGAACACTTCAGGACTTGAAGTTATCATTCCTCACATGACTCATGGTCCACACTGGCTCACATAACTTTCATCGCTGCCAGGCCTTTTTCTTTTTTTCCTGACTTTCATTTGAATCACCTGCAACACTCATAACTTAATGTTGTACATTTCTTTCTTCCAGGTCCCGTCCTTGAATAACAACTGTAGAGGAATAATATTGTTAATTTATTTATCAGGGGAGATTTCTGCCTTTAATATCAGGCCAAAAAAAGGGAGTTGTGATAGAGACTGATAACGACACATGTGCAGAAATGAATGGACGGCTTGTGTTTCATAGTTTTGAGGCCTTTTCATGAAAACATGTGCAAAATGTTCTCTGTTGACTTTGTGGGATTCTCTGGATTTGTTCCTCTTCTTTCAGCCATGATTTCAGATGTGTTTGTGTCCTGTGCTGTCTCTGAATGTAGATTTGGGCCAATTGGAGGGTCAGATATTCAATTCAAACCCACACAGCTTTATTTAAAATTCAAAGATAACAAATATATCAGAATGACAAGACATCCAGAATTATCTTGTCGCGCAGGAGTTTAGCACATGTTTTGGTTTGGAACACATAATGCTTTAATGCAGAGCATTTAGGTCAAGACACAGAGAATATATTACAAGCTCAATCATACTGATATTGATGAATACGATGATTTTAACAACCTTAAAGCCTCAGTACATAACGGGCATCAGAATGGGAAAACTGTATGTTAAAAGGAATATGGTAAACCAGTGGAACACAAGCTTTAGAATGTATTTATTTGTGGATCTATTGTTATACTATAACAAGTGTAATGTGGTTTGAAACGTCCTCATGGTTTCCCTATATATCTGTTTTGTTTTGTTTTCTTCTCCACCCTCATTGCTGAGTGTATTAACCTCTCTTTCTCTCCTGGATCATCCTCCTCTTCTCTTTCACACAGAACAGGGGGACAAGAAGACAACAATGTTAAGTATCTCAAGGCCAAGCTGGGGTGCCGGAAGATAAAAACCCAGGTTCCCAGGCCCTGACGAACAATACGTTGTGCAGCATCCTCATCTCCTCACTCCTATCTCCAGCCTCTGACCAGACGGACAGAACCAACAGCAGGCAGCCTCCTTTGTCTGACTCGAAAAGCCATTGCACCCAGCTCGTCCACCATGTCGTTTGCGTTCACCGTCTCGGTAATGCTTCTGGGCTCTTCGGTCGTGATTGCATTTGTCTTGCAGCCATCCAATGAAGAACCTGCAACCTCTGCCATCTCTGCAATCAGGTCAGTATCACACTTGTTTACACACTGTATAGAATGATTTGAGGCCATGCAGTGTCTTTATATTGTAGAGACCTTTTAGTTTATCCAGGGAACATTGAAAACAGCCTTACTCAATATGATCCAAAAGAAATTATGAAACATTTTATCAGGTCAGAGAAGTCATTTCAAACAGCTGCATGTTGATGCATGTATTATGAGGTGTTCACATGCATCAAGTGAAATACAATATTCTGTGTGTAATTCAGGCCCCACTGACCATCCGGTTGACTAAGGACAATGTTAAATGTTTGATATTTTTATATTTCCATGTGTTTCTGTGCAATCTATTTTAATATGTGATATTTAAATGTGATGTACAGGTGCCATGGTGAGTCATTGCAGTCCATCAGGAAGAGTCTCCTAAGAGCTCTCAACCTCGAGGCCGAGCCTCGGCTTCCTGCTGGTGGGCTGCATGCTGTCAGAGAGCAATGGAAGAGCACCATTTCTCACAGAGCCAATGTTGCTGCAGGTGAATGGAATCCTGCATTCATGATGGCCACTAAACATATCGTACATTTCCAACTTGTGCCTCTTTTTTCATGTTGTTTCAGCTGCAGCAGCCCCTTACTCACCAGTTGGAGAAAACAGTCTGAGGTGCTGCTCCGTGGCCTCTGAGATCTCCATGAAAGGTAGGAATGCAATGTGTGTGGATGTTTGAGTGTAGTGCTGACATACAATTTAAATATGAAAAATATAATAACATATAATATATCAATTCTTGTCTTTGGTATAGATCTGGGCTGGGACAACTGGGTGATCCATCCCTCCAGCCTCACCATCGTTCAGTGTGCACTCTGCAACCCTGAGATGAACACTGTGCAATGTCCATCATCCCAAACCAATGTCCAGGAGGCCTCAGAGGTATAATTCTTTAAGACTTATAGTGGCTTAAGTGCTTAAATAGTGAAATAAGTGAAGACCTGAATAAGTATTATTGTGTGAAATAAGTTACAAACCCCATTATTTTCATGTTGCACTAGTGCTCATGTGTGTATAACAAGTATATACACACAACAAGTAAATATGTAAATATATATTGATTCAAATCAAACTGTTTTATTTGCATTTCGTCAAATCACATTATATGTTAGTTTGAGGCATTTTACAGCAGGGTCGGGTAGAAAAGGGGAAATGGGGGAAGAGGAGACTGAAAGGAACAGTGAAGAAAGATAGAAAGAAAGAAAAAGCTGTGTGACGGTTTGTGTGTGACTGACCAGTACATTTAAACTGGTATATTACTCTGTTATAACTAAGTACATGAGTCTAAGAATGGTTACTTTCTACTTTCTACTACTGTCCCTGAACAGCTGGTTGCAGAGTTATCTGTGTGTGTATGTGTGTGTGTGTGTGTGTGT